GTATTACATTCTTTCTTTAGTCTTTACTATGTCCTACCACAACATCTTTGGTCTTCTCTTCTCAATATTGATTTACTGGAGGAGGGTTCATTATTTGCTGGTCTTTTGGGATCACCAGATTTCAGAGGATTCACGCTTTTCACAATGAAAAAACTTCTCCATGTTTTGATCCTTGCTCGATCGCTTCTAGCTCCAGCAGATATGGGGCGGCAGCTGTTCATTTTGCATCCACGATTTTTATTCGCTCTGCCTCATACCTCCATTGTGCATGAGTTATTGGAATATCTTTTTTTTTTTTTTTTTTTGTTGTTGTTGTTGCTGACTTGTTTCAATACAGATGGATCAATCGATCTTATTTACTGGGTGTGAGCCACAAATATGTGTAAATAATTGAAATTTCTCCCAGGAAGCATTACATTTATAAAAGTTATGGTCCTATGGCGGACTAATGATTATTAATGAGTCAGAATGAATCAGGAGAGCTTCTGTATTTGTTCTAGTTCATCGTGACTGTGCCATGGACCAGTGATTGCCTGGTGGTAGAGTCGCTGCCCGGCAAGCAGTAGATGCAGGTTCAGGTCCCGCTGGTTCCAAGATTTTTCTGACTTGTTTTCAATACAGATCGATCAATCGATCTTATTTACTGGGTGTGAGCCACAAATATGTTTAAATACAGATTTATTTGGTTATAGAATTCATTCTTCACTATGTAGTCAATAATAGGTAACCAGATTACATTTTACTTCTTAAATAATATGAAAAGATCTTTACTTTGTTCACAAACAGGTCTGGTCTTCACCATCAAACAAGAAGTTGACACAGACATGTATGAATCCCTCTCAAGTACAGAAGGACAAGACCCATCTAAAAAAGGTATCATGAAGTTATCAAGAGAACTCTAATAATACAATGGCGCTCAGGATGGATTTTTTGTGGTAAAATCAGGTCATTAAAGCAGTATGTACTGATGCATGCATTGCAATAAGTCCAATTTGCTGGGCCTCTAGGGTTTATAGGTGCACTCCGGTTCAATGTGATCCTTATTTTGAAGCATTTCAAACAAATTTGTAGGGAGGTTGGCTTGAACAGACAAAACTATAAATGAAGATAACTAGGCCTATTTTCAGAAGGAAGGGAACAACTCATAAGTAAATAGCATCTACTCTCTATGTTCCAGTTTAATATCTGAACATCAAGTTGCATCACAAGAATGAAATGGTCGGAAAAAAGACAAAGTGCTGAAGAACAGCTCAAAATCTTCAAATAAATAGCAGATGCACAGCTATTACAAAGAAAGTGTTAAACTTTTCTTCTGATTTCTTATAGAAATGATCTATGCCACCATAAAGCAAGAAGATGAGGAGAGATATATTGAACCTATTACAACTCAAGGTGAAGGAGGAGGAGAAACTGAGCAATCAATTCCTGAAGGTATGATCAACAAGGCAATTCATACCTTAAAGAGGAAGTCCATCCTGATATAAAGGCATCGGTTTAACAATGTAAATCTGAGATGCATGGCCTTCGTGTTATCAGTGCCTGTGATATGGTGTAATAAATTGAAGCCCTAAAAAATAGCTTTTCAAAAATGACCCGAGAAAGCGCCTCCCAAAGCGAAAAATCTTGTGAGTGACCGGTTTTACCATACTCGTTTTCCCCAATAGACTTAGTGTTATGAAAAACCGTTAGGAAAACACATGAGCTTAGTCCAGGATTAAGTAAATAGTTGGATATTAGGATTAATGTTATTTTCCTCCACACTGATCCAGATGAAAGAGAGACAATGGATACGGAAAAGATACAACCACATGTAACAGTATGCAGTGGAGAGAAGTCCCATCATGTGTTTACATTGCAGTAGCAGTAATGTACTGATGAGAAATGTGGTGAAATCCTGATAAATGCTCCCATTGTGACCTTACTACCCATTCAAGAATGCACAGTGGAGAAAAGCCTTATCGATGTGTCTATTGTGATAAAGGATTTTCTGAAAAGTCTAAGGTTACTATCCACCTTAAAACACATACAGGAGAGAAACCCCTTAGGTGTTCCCATTGTGATACAGGTTTTTCTCAAAGAAGTACCCTTAAAGGCCATTTAAGAAACACACAGTGGTAAAAAGCCTTCTCTAAGTTTTCATTGTGATACAGGTTTTTCTCAAAGAAGTACCCTTAGGGGCCATTTAAGAACCCACAGTGGTAAAAAGCCTTGTAGATGTTCCCATTGTGAATGGGACTTCATCTGCTAGTTTGACAAAATAAAAGATAAAAAAATTCTTTCAATGTCTATAACAAAAACGCATGCAAACGCAACAACCAACAAAAGATTTTAATCCACAAACGAGGGATTTGTTATCATCACAATGTCGTTGGTTTCGAAGAAAAGTCAACAGAAACAGGAGGGGGGAAAGCACTTTTAAAACTGTATTTTGTAAGCCCTTGAGGTCACTTTCCTTCCTTATATATGTGTAGTAGGCCTGTGCTGCACACAAACAAAAATTTGTAAAAAAATCGAAGAAATCGCTGATTTCAACAGTTTTTTTTTACAGATTGCTACATGAAGATGACATTAATTGCACATTACATCCGAGGAACCCTAATTTAGTTTTATCATCGCATGGGCATGTCATGATTCATTCATGAAATGAAAAGTGCAAACTGTGGGAAGCATTGATCGGTGTGAAGTCACTTTTGGTGATAGAGGGCGACAAACAAAATTGTGGTGGATCTCATAGGACCAAAGGCCCTTATAGAGCTTATCAAAACATACCTTAAACAAAGAGGCAAGTAAGACTTGAGAACAGGTGGTAGCTATCATTATTTTACTACTGTCGCCATCAAAAGTCTACGGAAGCGTTAAAGTGCCATTCTACTTGACGACATGGCGACATAATTTATCTTACCAAGTCGACTTCTAAAAAAATACATGTCGTCATGACGACATATATTATCTTACCAAGTCGACTACCCAAAAAGTAATTTCGACATGGCGAAATAAATTATCTTGCCAAGTCGACTTCACAAAAAGTTCATGTCGTCATGGCGACATGTATTATCTTGCCAAGTCGACTTCACAAAAAAGTTCATCTCGTAATAGCGACATAAATTATCTCACCAAGTCGACTTCCCAAAAAGAATATGTCGTCATGGCGAGATATGTAGTGTGACGACTATTTCATGCAGCTCGCGTATATGGCAAGCCCTTTGTGTAAAAAACAGATAAACTCTGTTTTTCTCAGATAAACTCAGTTTATCAGAACAACTCAGTTTATCAAGAAAAAACTAAGTTTATCAATGATTAACTGAGTTTTTCTGATGATTGATTGATTGATTTTTTATTCGACAAGCTTCCAACATACAACAATATACAATAATAACAGATCAAACATAAGTCAGCTTGAACAGGATAACCCACGAAAGCTCGAGAGCTTATTTCCAGTGGGGTCCCTTACAGACATGTATAAAATTAATAAGTTAAAATAGTAATATTTACAGACAGATAAGAAAATTAAAAGAACTACTTATTAAAGATAATAATAATAATAATAATAACAAACTAATATTAAACTGATGATAGAAATGATATTAAGTACAAGAAGAAAAAGAAGAAGGAGAAGAAGAAGAAAAAGAGGAGAAGGAAGAAGAGGAAAATAATGATGAATTTGTAGAATTTCTATAACGTACGAAAACATAAGTATATACAACATGAAAAAGTATGAACCGACAGAAGAATAAAAATTTCAATCATATAACATGTCATTCACTTCTCTTCTCTGACTGTCAAGTATTAGGTATTCCTTTAATTTCCTCTTAAAATGATCATAGTTTCCTATTTCTTTTACACCATTGGGAAGGGAATTCCAATGTTTTATGGCATTGTAATAAAACGAATTTCCAATACTACCTACTCTTTCTGGTAAGTTAAAGTTGAATCGTCTATTTCTTGTATGATAATCATGTACGTCAGTTAATAAACTCAGTTTATCAACTGATAAACTCTGTTTATCTGATAAATTCTGTTTATCTGTTGATAAACTGAGTTTATCATTGATAAACACAGTTTTTTTGATAAACTGACTTTATCTGAGAAAAACAGAGTTTTATCTGAGAAAAACAGAGTTTATCTGGTTTTTTACACAAAGGGCTTGCCATATACGCGCGTTGCATGAAATAATACATATCTCGCCATGACGACATATATACTTTTTGGGAAGTCGACTTGGTGAGATAATACATGTTGCCATGACGACATGTATTTTTTTAGAAGTCGACTTGGTAAGATAACTTATGTCGCCATGACGACATGAACTTTTTGTGAAGTCGACTTGGCAAGATAATTTATTTCGCCATGTCGACTAATAAAAGTTGATAAGTCGACATGGTAGGTTAAATATCTTTACATGTCGACATGATATGGATATTAAGTCGACTTGACAAGATAAAATATCTCGTCATGTCGTCAAGTAGAATGGCACTTTAACGCTTCCGTAAAAGTCCATTTGTCGTTGGTCCATGATTAACTACTAACAAAAAGAGAAAATGGTAAATGACCAACACTCCTAAATTAGATATTAATATAACCTTTTGAATAGATGTAAGATTTTGTGAATGAATCAAGAAGTATATTTGCTTATAAAACTGAGCATTTAGTTGATTGACTTCATGAAGTAAATAGTTGGATAATAGGAATATTGTATATTTTCCTCCCCAGATAAAGAATTGGACAGTGGACAAGACAAGATACACCCACATATAACAGTATGCAGTGAAGAGAAGTCCCATCTGTGTTTACATTGCAGTAAGACATTTACTGATGAGAGCACTCTTATACTACATCAGAAAACACACCAGGGCGAGTATGAGCATACTCACCACCTTACAACACAAACTGGAGGGAAACCTTTCAAGTGTTCCCGGTGTGATAAGAGTTTTTCTCACCAAAGTACCCTTAGAGGCCATTTAAAAACACACAGTGGAGAAAATCATTTTAAATGTTCTCAGTGCGATAAGACATTTTCTCGAAAGTATAATCTTATTAGCCACCTAAGATCACATACAGGAAATAAACCCTTTAAATGTTCCCATTGTGATACAAGTTTTTACTCAAAGAAGTACCCTTGTAAGCCATTTAAAAACACACAGTGGAGAAAAGCCTTTTAAATGTTCTCAGTGTGATAAGACATTTTCTCAAAAGAATAATCTTACCTGCCACCTTAGAATACATACAGGAAATAAACCCTTTAAATGTTCCCATTGTGATACAAGTTTTACTCAAAGAAGTACCCTTGTAAGCCATTTAAAAACACACAGTGGAGAAAAGCCTTTTAAATGTTCTCAGTGTGATAAGACATTTTCTCACAAGAATAATCTTACCTGCCACCTTAGAATACATACAGGAGAGAAACCCTTTAAATGTTCCCATTGTGATAAGGGTTTTTCTCACCAAAGTACCCTTAGAGGTCATTTAAGAATACACAGTGGAGAAAAGCCTTATACATGTTCCCATTGTGATAAGGCTTTTTCTCAACAAAATAATCTTACCTGCCATGTAAGGACGCATACAGGAGACAAGCCTCATCGATGTCCCTATTGTGATAAAGGATTTCCTCAGAAAAAAGAGCTTATTAGCCACCTTAGAACACATACTGGAGAGAAACCCTTTAAATGTTCCCATTGTGATAAGGGATTTTCTCACAAAAGTAATCTTACCTATCATGTAAGGATTCATACAGGAGACAAGCCTTATCGATGTCCCTATTGTGATAAAGGATTTCGTCAGAAGACTAAGCTTACTAGCCACCTTAGAACACATACAGGAGAGAAACCCTTTAAATGCTCTCAGTGTGATAAGACATTTTCTCGTAGATATTCCCTGACCTGTCATTTAAGAACACACAGTGGTGAAAAGCCTTATAAATGTTCCCAGTGTGATAAGACATTTTCTCGTAGATATTCCGTGACCTGTCATTTAAGAAAACACAGTGGTGAAAAGCCTTAAAAATGTTCCCATTGAGATAAGACATTTTCTCAAAAGAATGAGACTATTAGCCATCTTAGAACACATACTGGAGAGAAACCCTTTAAATGTTCCCATTGTGATAAGGATTTTTCTCACCAAAGTATTCTTACCTGTCATGTAAGGATGCATACAGGAGACAAGCCTCATTAGTGTCCCTATTGTGATAAATGATTTTACCGAAAGTCTGAGTTTACTATTTATCTTAGAACACATACAGTTCAGTTTCAGCCTATTTTCATATTCCACATGTTGTATAATATATCATTACATTGGCATGTTACATTTTTGTACTCATTTATGGATGGATTTATACAAACAAAAAGAATAATATAAGACAAGTTGTAAAAAGGAAGAAATATGATGGAGCCTAAAGAGAAGGCAATGCTTGTAGGTCATAGGCTCCGGAAGTTATAACAATGATATAGTCTTGTGTTTATTAAATAACGTAATTGAATTAAATTGAAACTTATTATGAAGAAAAAATAAACAATGTTCATATACTTAGCAATATTTGTATTACATTTTCACTACCCGTGCGCAATGGCAATTCTCAAAGGAGCATACCAAAATGTCGGCATCATTTGACAGGGAGTGTCGCTGGCTGTGTGCCGGTAAAGTACGATGTTGTAGAAATTTAAATGTAGCCACGCTGGCGAACAGACTGGTTGTCAATGACGCCAGCATTTTGGTATGATGGAACAAACATCAATAGAACATTTTTTTGATACACATTTATGTAAAGCTAAATATGTTTGCCCGATGACAAGCCGCCATATCCACCTGCCGTAATGCACTGAAACTCAACAGCAGGAGCGCGAAGTGCATAACTTGTCGCTGCTAGGTCGGACAGACATTAACAACAAACAAAGCATGTACCTCGCTCCGCGGCCACCGAAGAACAATGACATCCCAGCAGGTGAAGACAACGGCCCGTCACTAGGCACAGGGCAAGAACAGCAAACTAAAAGGAACATTCAGTTTGAACATCGATATTATTATTAAAAAAACATCATGCTTCTTCTACCAGTATAATTGCTTAGGATATGACATTTCAGCTTGCGCTTGAACGAATATAGTGAGGTTGATTATGTGAATTCAATGGGGAGGTCATTCCAAAGCTATAGCCTTAGGGCCCGTAAAAGTAATCTTTTTTTGAGCAAACAAAGTTCGTGTAAGGGGAAGGTGAAATAGGTTACTTTGGCGAGTGGAATAAGAATGGATTGCATTATTTCATACGAAGAGTGCACCAATTACAGCAGGTAACTCATTTACAGTTAATTGATACATAAACACTCCTACGCTGTACACATACACATCAACTATTCTGAGAACTTTGTTCTTAAAAAACAGTTGACTAGTATGGGAAAGGAATCCCGCATGATTTATGTTTCTTATTGCCCGTTTCCCCAGGCGAGAATACCGTAGTTAAGGTAATGTAAAATTAAGGTGTTATACAGATATAACAAAATGTGAGTTGGAAGCTTGTGTTTTAGTTTATTTAAAATACCTGTGTTTCTAGAAATCAGTTTGCACAAATAGTTAACGTGTATCTTCCATGAGAGAAACCCTTTAAATGTTCCCATTGTGATACAGGTTTTTCTCAACGAGGTCATCTTACCTGTCATATTAGGACACATACTAGAGAAAAAACTTTTAAACGTCGTGATTGTAACGAGAGATTTTCTTATAAAAGGGATGTTACTAGCAGGGCTCAAATTAACTTTTTGTCCACGGGGCCTCCTTTAGTACTGACGGGGGCTCTTTTTTTATACAAATTTCCATTTAATTGGTACCCATGATACTCCTCAATTCTTTGCTATTTCATCATCATTTATTTAAGTCAGCATTTTCCCTCTCACAAATTAAAAAAATACATACCGGTAGCTGTTACTGACTTTCATCCCGTGAGCACATTCTTCCAGTTCTGCACATTATTTCCTCATTATTTGGAGCAACGTTATTCACATTCTTTCTTTACTTTAAGTCTTTACCAAGGGGTGGATCTAGCTTTTTGCTAAGGGGTGGGGGGGGGGGGGGGGGGTTGACTCAGTGACGATGAAAAACATAACGTAACGGTGAGGCAATTTATTTATTTTTTTGCTCTTTTGAACCCCCGTAAGTGATCATGGTTTTCCTGGCATCTACTACTAACATCTACCAATACTGTGGCGTTCTTCTATGTACATCACATTTTCACTTAGCAGCCAAGCTCCCCCCCCCCCCCCCCCCCCCCCCCCCCCCCCCCCCCCCCCCCCGTAGATCTGCTCCTGTTACCATATCCTACCACAAGGAGGATTCTGGGTGATGAATCTAAGAATCCACACTGCACAGAAACCATTTCAATTTTCCAATGGGATGAGGATTTTTCTCCACAAAGTGATGTATTACCTTATATAAATATGAACACACCCTGCAGAATTAAGGCAATATAATTATTAACACTAATAATTTATTTTCTAAGCTAAAAGTCATTGATGAGTAGGTAAGATTAAACCATTCAAATTGTGATAGACTGTCACTGTACCTCAATTGGTACATGTATCTGACTATCTATCACAGACACACACATTTAGAGGGGAAAGAAATTCACATTGTATTACTAGATTTGATCTCAGAGGGTGGCTTATTAGCCATGAGGAACACATGCAGGGGAAAAGCTTCGATAAGGTTTCCGTTGTAATAATGGTCTGTAGAGGTGCTGTGGTGTAGTGATTACTTCACCAGACTGAATCGCATGGTTCGTGGTTCAATTCCTATGCAGCACCAATGTTCTTTGACAAGATGTTAATCTTCATTTGCCACTCTCCACCAGATGTTAAATTGGTACCCAGTAGCATGGGAATGTTGCTGTGGTTGAAGTGGTATGTGTGCACTCGTTAAATGGCACCTGGCTGGAATACTGCCCAGGGAGTGGAGCATGTGCACTATCATGTTCAGATCAATTGAATCCAATGACTGCATGATATCAATAATGACAATGTAAAGTACTTAGAAACTTAGTATTAAGCACTATACATATGTGACTATTACAAACAGTTAACAAATGTGACTTTTATTATCATAAAGTTTTTTTTTTATGTAGAGGAAATCTTATTTCATATAGCCTTATCAGCACATAGAGGTGAAAGAAGGGAATAAAGGCCTTATCTACTAGCTTCTCAATGCAATATTGGATTTTCTCAAAAATTTCCTGTTTTTGTAGGGTTTAGGGCTAGCAGTCTGTTGGAAATGGATCTTTTTTTAGCAGATATACGGTTTTGAGAAAATGCCCTGATTAGTGTTGCTATTACATGTGTAAGATTATATGTTCATGTATATATTTTCAGTGTCATAAATGTAGATTTTCAGCGTCATGAAAACAGTCATGAATCTAGCAAAATTTGTTGTACTGTGTCTTTATCACAAAACTTCAAGATGGGGGCATGCCAACACATAGGATTTAATTTTGCAAGCTAAATGTACCCCAATTTGTCTTCTACATGTACTTGCAAATAATCAATATCAATTATTCTATTTTTGGAAGAAGAGATATCTTTTCTTGTATATGATGTCTATTCCCCCAGGCAACCATTTTACAGGATACTATTTATTATTGTGTGTACAAAATATACATGTGTGTGTTCACTCTGGAAAATATTTCTAGATTGAATGTAATATTGATAAATTCTCTGTTCTTTTTTTTTTTAGATTTGTTCATACTTTTTATTTCTCATTCAACTCAACTTGGGAGGGTTCCTATCCCTAATTGATCTTTGTTTCAGAGACTGTACACTTTTACATAAAATGTTTTTATTTCTTCGTTTGTTATGAAAGAACCACAGTATTATCTTGTGTATTAAAACAGATTTTGTTTATAATTACATGCATCTGTAACTTGTGTTATTGTATTGTAAGCCTTACGGCACACTATATGATTTCAATAGCATCCTATTGTAGAATAAGTTGCATTGGCATTTGATGTGAATAATTATGTAAAATGTTATAATCGAGGCTCTGAATTGTTGTATACCATCACTCTATTATAAACCATTTCAAAATACGAATTTGCATATTATGACGTCAACATATTTATGGAAAAATGAGTTTATCTCTGTAAATATTGATCGTTTTTCTCTTAATTTTCTCTAGCACTTCCCTTTTAATTTGCCCTTTGTACTCTGATTTCACCCGTACCATGTTTCCTTACTGTTCTCTCTCCTTCCAAGTGCATGCATTCTGATTCCGCTATTATCCCTTTGTCCAGCTCATGTATTTTTTACATGCCTATAGTATACCCCGTCTCCCTCTCTCCACTAGTTCTATCTACTGACATATCTCTCTCTCTCTCTCTTCATTTCTCCAAATGAGATTGTTAAAATACAACCTATACAGTCCACCTCATTCGTCTTCAGTGACGAGTTACAATTCTCGTTATAATTCTTTTTGCCCAAATAAAAGAATAGATAAATAGATAAACGAGAGTCCAAAAAGATAGATATGTAGAAAATATCTATCAATGTATTTACCTATCAAGGAAGGGTGATCGAGTGTGATCAATTGATTGGCCCTGTGTGTGTGTGTGTATGTGTGTGTGTGTGATTTTGTGTGTGATTGATTGTGTGATTGATTGTGAGATTGTACCTTCTGTAGATGAGTGTGTGACAGTGTGGGGTTTTAACTTTGTGAAGACACAGTTCATCTACCGGAATGGACCTTCTGTAGATGAGTGTATGACATTGCAGGGTTTTAACTTTGTGAAGACACAGTTCATCTACTGGTATGGACCTTCTGTAGATGACCGATGACATTGCGGGGTTTTAACTTTATGAGGACACAGTTCATCTATGGATCTACTGTAGATGAGTGTATGACATTGCGGGGTTTTAACTTTGTGAAGACAGTCATCTATGTATGGACCTACTGTAGATGAGTGTATGACATTGCGGGGTTTTAACTTTGTGAAGACACAGTTCATCTATGGACCTACTGTAGATGTGTGTATGACATTGTGGGGTCTTATACTTTGTGAAGACAGGACCTACTGTAGATGAGTGTATGACATTGCGGGTTTTAACTTTGTAAAAACACAGTTCATCTATGGACCTACTGTAGATGAGTGTATGACATTGCTGGGGTCTTATACTTTGTGAAGACAGGACCTACTGTAGATGAGTGTATGAAATTGCGGGGTTTTAACTTTGTGAGGATATATACAGTTCATCTATGGACCTACTGTAGATGAGTGTATGACAATGCGGGGTTTTAACTTTATGAGGACACAGTTCATCTATGGACCTTTTGTAGATGAGTGTATGACATTGCAGGGTTTTAACTTTGTAAAGACACAGTTCATCTATGGACCTACTGTAGATGTGTGTATGACATTGTGGGGTTTTAACTTTGTAAAGACACAGTTCATCTATGGACCTAATGTAGATGTGTGTATGACATTGTAGGGTTTTAACTTTGTGAGGATACATCATCTATGGACCTTTTGTAGATGAGTGTATGACATTGCGGGGTTTTAACTTTATAAGGACATGCATGCACAGTTCATCTAGGAACCTAAAAAAAAAAACCAGTATCAAAACTAAAGGAATCAAAGACCCAACCCTAGAAATAAGTATGATTCAATAGACAGAGATGAATGACAGAACTATTAAAAAAAAGTTTGAACAATTTGGTCAACAAAGAAAGTTTTATATATATATAAACTGCAAATTGGTAATGTGGACAATCTTCCATCTATTAAATACACAAAAATTGAGATTTTCCTGTTTTTCTTTGCAATGGCATTTTTTTTCCAGAACCCGACATATATCAGTAGAAATAAATTTTACAAAGCATATTGTGAGCTTATGTCATCTTTGAAAGCTTTTACACAAATTGAAAATCTGAAATTTGGTATACAAAACCTTTGTGAGATTGTCACCTGATATTGGCACATACATGTAGCATTGCCAAGTTGCAGTTCCCATCAAAATTTCTAGAATTCATAAATTTGTTAATTGTGCCGTGGACCAATTTGTCACAAACTTTCTTTAAATTACTATACTCTATGCAATCTCTGTCTATTGTAATACACATGTTGCCAGGGTTTGGCTTCCCTTTAATTTCCTATGTATTCATTTTTTAAATAGTTATAATACAGTGTTTTGGGGTAATTTTTTACTTTTGTTTTAAATTTTTTATTACCAAAATTTGTTACATATTTTCAGGTATAATAAACATTTGATTTCAACATTGATTTTATTGATTAAAAATAGAAATAATAACATTTGTGTTACAGTGTGAATTTAATCGATAAAACTCAATTTGCAATGACTTTGTAGACCAAATTGTTTTGGAGCAATTTTGGGGCCGACAAAGTTTCTTAAAAGGAGTGTGGATTAAAAATGGTGTGTGCAGGTGAAACAAATTTGGTCTCCAAAGTTGGTCTTCAATTTGGTCTGCAAAGTTGCGCGGTAATTTTTGTTTTGCATGGCTGACTGAAGAGAGTCTATCACTGTATTCAAGAGGGTGCTATTTCTGCCAGTTTTGCATTTTGGAAAACATCGTGAGAGGGCCAAAGTACATTGTCCTGGCTCTAGTCGCTTCAGGGTTCAGTTAGCATGGATTCTCAACAACGGAAGACAATGTTGACAGTGCCAATGTGTACTTTTGCACTCTCACGATGTTTTCCAAAATTCAGACCCTGGCAGAAGTAAAAGTTGAAACCATTGGAGACAAGAATGATGGACAGGCTGGAGGAAAGACATCAAAAGGAGAGACCATGGGAGACGAGAATGATAGACAGACCGGAGGAAAGACATCAAAAGGAGAGACCATGGGAGACGAGGATGGACAGGCCGGAGGAAAGACATCAAAAGGAGAAACCATGGAAGACGAAAATGATGGAGAGACCATGGGAGACGAGAATGATGGAGAGACCATGGGAGACGAGAGTGATGGACAGACCAGAGGAAAGACATCAAAAGGAGAAACCATGGGAGACGAGAATGATAGACAGACCGGAGGAAAGACATCAAAAGGAGAAACCATGGGAGACGAGAATGATGGACAGACCGGAGGAAAGACATCAAAAGGAGAAACCATAGGAGACGAGAATGATTCAAGTATTCAATTTATTTCACATCACTTTAAAAACACATCAAAAGGTATACAAACAAATCATAAATTAAAACAATATAAATATATACAAAAAAAACAACATTCATTTACATTGTACTGATGAAAGAAGGATGAAGGGTGGAGGATGTGAGGGATCAACAAAGGCCATTGGCCTGTCAAGGTTGATCCTCTATATTTCCACCCTTCAAAAGAAATACATTATACAAAATATAAAAAAATAAAAACAATCAAACAAACAGATAATATAACATAGCATAATCACATAAAAACACAACATAATTATTTACATAAATCTCATAAAAGGCAATTAGATCAAATAAAACTACTCACAATTAAGAAGATAACATTTATATTTTTTCCTGAATGTAAAAACAGTGGATATTTCTTTTAATACGTTTGGCAACTCATTCCAAAGCTGTGGGCCTTTAAAACTTACTGTAGTTCTTGAAAAATTAAATATATAAAAAGGTACATACATTTTATTGGAATTTCTTGTTTTATATTTATTAATGTTGCAATTATATTCGAAATAGTCATGAAAGTTATTGGGCAATAGTTGTTTAGAATAAGAAAACATAAACGATGCTAGTTGTAATTTATTTATATCAAATATATTCAATATTTTTAACTTTTTAAATAATTGTTGGGTATGTGCTAAATAGTTTGATTTGGTAATTGCTCGTATTGCACGTTTCTGTAGTAAAAACAATTTTTGTGATAAATAAAATGAGCATCCACCCCATACAATATTAGAATACATAAAATGTGATAGAATCATACAGTTATACAAATTTGTTAAAATCTTCAGAGGTAAAATGTGTTTTAAAATATTAAAGACTCCAATGGATTTAGATATTTTTAAAGCAATGTAATTAACATGTTCCTTCCAGTTCAAGTTTTCGTCAATGATTACTCCAAGAAATTTAGTACTGGTTTCTCTCTTTATACTTAGATCATTAAGTTTAATATTTATTACATTATCTTGTATTCTACAATTCCTACTCTTAAATATCATATAACAAGTTTTATCGCGATTAATGTAGAGTTTATTGGCTGTAAACCAAGTTTGTATGCTTTTTCATTTCTGAATTTAATAGATTATTTAATGCAACTGGATCTTTACCTGATAAAAATAAACTTGTGTCATCTGCAAATAAAATTACTGATAAAATATTGCTAACATATTGCAGATCATTAATATAAAGTAAAAATAAAAGGGGGCCGAGATTAGATCCCTGAGGTACACCTACTGAAATACTTTTATGTTCTGAATTAAAATTATCAACGCTTACATATTGCTTCCTATTGCACAAATAACTTTCAAACCACTGTATTGCATTTCCCCTTATTCCATAATATTTCAGTTTTTTAAGTAAAATTGAATGGTCAATACAGTCAAACGCCTTTGACAGGTCTAAAAAGAGAGATATCACTATGTGTTTCTTTTCAAAGGCTTTGGCAATTTTATCTGTTAATTCAATCAATGCATGGGTAGTACTATATCCCTTTCTAAAGCCAAATTGTTTATTGTGCAAAATATTGTGTTTTTCAATAAAATATATTAATTCATCATAAACAATTTTTTCTAAAATTTTACTAAAAATTGATAAAATAGAGATTGGTCTATAATTATTCAACATATTTTTACTGCCATTCTTATAAATTGGTATAACTTTAGCTATTTTTAATGCATTAGGAAATATGCCTTTTTCAAGAGAAGAATTAAATATATTGCACTAAAGGAGACACAATTGCATTAATAGAAGATTTAACAATTTAAGCACTAATTTCATCGTAACCAGGACATTTACTTACATCAAAACTCGATATAATATTAATTATAGTAGATTCTGTAATTGGGCTAAAAAATAAAGACTCACAAACAGATCCCTGTAAAAAGCTATTAAATGATGTAGTTACTGCACTATCCAACTTATCATGAATTTTCTGTCCAACTGTACTAAAGTAATCATTGAATAAATTTACAATATGAGATTTATCCTTTATAGATCTACCTTCATATTCGATTTCATTAACATCATGCTTACTTTTTCTTTTGTTCAAAACTTCATTTATAACATTCCATGTTTTCTTTGCATTGTTCATTACATCCTTAAACTTATTATCATAATATTTACGTTTTGTATCACGTATCAAGTTATTAAATCTATTTCTAAAATTTACATAAGTCGTTCTGCGATATGTCGTAGGATTTTTAAGATAATTTTTGTATAAAATATATTTATGTTTACTCATTTTCTTAATTTCTATTGTAATCCAAGGTTTAACGTTTGCATGTTTCTTTTTTTTTTATCTCTACCTTTTGGAAACATTCGTTATACAATTTCACATATATTTCAAGAAAACTTTCATACTTCTGATTAACATCATCAAGACGATCTAAAAATTCCCACTTCACAGACTGTAACTTTGAACAAAATGTATTGATGTGAACATCACTGAAGTCACGTTTTGAGTAAATTATTTGAGGATCATCTGTATCAGGTTGAGATAAAATCATGATAAAAGGAGTAAGATGATCACTGACATCTGTTAAAATTATTCCACTCAGCTTAACCTTTTCTGGATTATTACAGAAGAAATTATCCAAAGTAGTCGCAGAATGTGAGGTTATTCGGGTTGGCTTGATTATTTGTGGTAAGTAAGAAAGTGAAATAAAGTTATCAATGAATTCATTAACATATGAAATAACATCAAGTTTCAATAGATCAACATTAAAATCACCCATAATGATGCTCTCCTTTTTCTCATTCATAATAACATTCAGCGGTGCTTGTGTATCATTTATAAAAGATTGTACTCCTTGGTGTGGTGGTCTATACATAACAAGAACTATATAATTCTGTACTTTATTATATACCTCAATGGAAATACTCTCAACAGCATTAGTAAACACATCTAAATCTGGTCTTCTTTTAAATCTTATTTTGTCATGAATAAATACTCCTACGCCTCCCCCTCTTTTTCCTTGTCGAGGATTACTTAGGAAGGAATATTGGGGAAGAGAAAAATAGCTATCATCATCATCACTCTTAAGCCATGTTTCAGTGACCCCAATTATTGACATAGGTCTGGAAAATGTTTGGACAAATTGTAAGAAATTATCAAAATTGCGCTTTAAACTACGGCAGTTAAAATGAGATAAAGTCACTGTAGAACAAGTATCGAAATTTTTAGTAGATTCATAAAATTCATCAGGAGTATCCCGGCCCCCCCACTCAGAGGTCGGAATGACCGTATGCGTGTTGCCAAAATGTCCGGTAAAGGGGTACTTTTCGTGCGACAAAGTCCGGCCCGAGAATTGTAAAAAAAGGGGTGCATTTGACTTTTCACCTGGAGATTTCTTTAAAAAGGGGGTGTTTTTCTTTTTTTCTCTCATCTCTATGGACTCCTGAGAAATTATTCAGAATTTAGGGGGGTACATTGAGCATTTTTCCTGATTTAGGGGGGTCTCCAAGGCAGGAAAAGCCCGCGAAAAGCCCGCGAAAAGCCCGCGAAAGGGGGGTTCGGAAATGTTGGCAGTCCTCAGATAGGGGGTGCTTTCAAAAAGAGGGTACGAGCATATGCGTACCCTAAATAACACTGAGTGGGGGGGCCGGGAGGAGTATAAACTTTGTTATCCGGAAGAAGTTCTTTATTAAATGTAGTAGCTAAAGATTTATACTCTCTTGAGCTTCGATTGCAAAGAGAGCAATTATCACAAGTTGTAGAATTCTGCCTATTACATAAAATACAAGTACACAACATAGTACGTTAAACTATACTATCAAAAACAAAAACGGAAAAGTCTGCAATATAATATAATGTATCGGTAGTACAAGCGGATATTATGACTAATATATGGTATTCGCATTATTTCTCATCAGCTGAATATGGTTTCACTACATTGAGTGATATAGTCTACTGATATGAGCATAAATGTATATTAACTCAGCATTTACCTGTTTACGCTTTACATGACAATATTTTCATATTTTCTTAAGATCAGTCACTGAGTGTATTCTTTTCCTTACCGAACCTCCGTTCGTGGCTTTCACTAGAACAGTTACTCTGCCATCTGTGGACCACGCGGCAATTGCATTTGTGTTGAGTTTCACTTCATCCTTTGCTTTTTGAAGCAACATTCTGTTTGCTGCTGTCAAGTCTTCGTCAATTCCTATGTGTTTCCCTTTAAGTTGTTTCCTGTTCCTGATCACTAGATGGCGAGCACGATAAGTAGAGAACTTGACGATGATGGAGAGACCATGGGAGACAAGAATGATGGAGAGACCATATGGGAGACGAGAATGATGGACAGACCGGAGGAAAGACATCAAAAGGAGAAACCATAGGAGACAAGAATGATGGAGAGACCATGGAAGACGAAAATGATGGAGAGACCATGAGAGACGAGAATGATGGAGAGACCATGGGAGACGAGGATGGACAGGCCAGAGGAAACACATCAAAAGGAGAAACCATAGGAGATGAGAATGATGGAGAGACCATGGGAGATGAGAATGATGGAGAGACCATGGGAGACGAGAATGATGGAGAGACCATGGGAGACGAGAATGATGGAGAAACCATGGGAGACAAGAGTGATGGACAGGCCGGAGGACACACATCAAAAGGAGAAACCATAGGAGATGAGAGTGATGGAGAGACCATGAGAGACAAGAGTGATGGAGAGGTCGTAGGAAAGACATCCAAACGAGTGGCATCCAAAATAGATGAACTAGAAACAGAATTATCTGATGATGATAGCAGAGGAGATTTGTCCAAAGAAGTTGATGAAGATGATGAAAGCAGTTCAGGAGAATCAAACAGTGAAAGTGAAATTATCAGGGATTGTGATATGAAGGACATTTTTGTAACAAGAGTTACAACGTCTACAACCACAAAGAAAGGAAAGAAAAAACGTACTAATAGAGTATACAATGGTCGAAATAGCTGTCCATTTTGTTCCCGGTTGGTTGCAAACTTCAGCACACATATATTGGGCCATAGGCATGAAAAGGAACCAGCGGTTTGCAAGATTAAAGGAACAACAGAGGAAAAGAAAAGGAAAAGACTCGTTAGACTACTTCGCAACAGAGGAAACAACACTAATAACTGTAGAGTTTTGAAAGAGAAAAATGGAGAAATGTTACTCTCACGCAGAATAGGCACTAAAGAGGCAAGATTCAACTGCATGGATTACGGAACTTGTCCACACTGTTTTGAATGGTTGAGGAAAACCATTTTACCATGCCACAGCAAGTCTTGTCCAGGCAAGAGCAATGACAACTCAAAGGCTGCTTGTGCTTCTACAAGCACAAAAGGAGCTTTGCTTGTTCAAAGGAACATTATATCTGGACTGGTGTCAGATTGTGCTAGTCAGCTTCTTATCAAAGAGGTTTTTCTGATTATGACAAATGATTATGACAAATGAAAAGACATCAAAAGGAGAGACCATGAGAGATAAGAATGATGGAGAGACCATGGGAGACGAGAATTATGGAGAGACCATGAGAGACGAGAATGATAGAGAGACCATCAGAGACGAGAATGATGGAGAGACCATTGGAGACGAGAGAGTGATGGACAGGCCGGAGGACACACATCAAAAGGAGAGACCATGGGAGACGAGAATGATGGAGAGACCATCGGAGACGAGAATGATGGAGAGACCATCAGAGACGAGAATGATGGAGAGACCATGGGAGACGAAAGTGATGGACAGGCCGAAGGAAACACATCAAAAGGAGAGACCATGGGAGACGAGAATGATGGAGAGACCATCGGAGACGAGAATGATGGAGAGACCATGGGAGACGAAAGTGATGGACAGGCCGGAGGAAACACATCAAAAGGAGAAACCATAGGAGATGAGAGTGATGGAGAGACCATGGGAGACGAGAATGATGGAGAGACCATCAGAGACGAGAATGATGGAGAGACCATGGGAGACGAAAGTGATGGACAGGCCGAAGGAAACACATCAAAAGGAGAGACCATGAGAGGAGAATGATGGAGAGACCATCGGAGACGAGAATGATGGAGAGACCATGGGAGACGAAAGTGATGGACAGGCCGGAGGAAACACATCAAAAAGAGAGTCCATGAGAGACGAGAATGATGGAGAGACCATGGGAGACGAGAATGATGGAGAGACCATGGGAGACGAGAATGATGGAGAGACCATCGGAGACGAGGATGGACAGGCCGGAGGAAACACATCAAATGGAGAGACCATAGGAGACAAGAATGATGGAGAGACCATCGGAGATGAGAATGATGGAGAGACCATGGGAGATGAGAATGATGGAGAGACCATGGGAGACGAGAATGATGGAGAGACCATCAGAGACGAGAATGATGGAGAGGCCATGGGAGACGAAAGTGATGGACAGGCCGAAGGAAACACATCAAAAGGAGAGACCATGGGAGACGAGAATGATGGAGAGACCATGGGAGACGAAAGTGATGGACAGGCCGGAGGGAACACATCAAAAGGAGAAACCATAGGAGATGAGAGTGATGGAGAGACCATGGGAGACGAGAATGATGGAGAGGTCGTAGGGAAGACATCCAAACGAGTGGCATCAAAAATAGATGAACTAGAAAAAGAATTATCTGATGATGATAGCAGAGGAGATGTGTCCATAGAAGGTGATGAAGATAATGAGGCAGTTCAGGAGAATCAAACAGTGAAAGTGAAATGGATGAGGCTGAAATTATCAGGGATTGTGATATGAAGAACATTTTTGTAACGAGAGTTACAAAGTCTACAACCACAAAGAAAGGAAAGAAAAAACGTACTAATAGAGTATACAATGGTCGAAATAGCTGTCCATTTTGTTCCCGGTTGGTTGCAAACTTCAGCACACATATATTTGGCCATAGGCATGAAAAGGAACCAGCGATTTGCAAGATTAGAGGAACAACAGAGGAAAAGGAAAGGAAAAGACTCATTAGAATACTTCGCAACAGAGGAAACAACATTCATAACTGTAGAATTTTGAAAGAGAAAAAAGGACAAATGTTACTCTCACGCAGAATAGGCACTGAAGAGGCAAGATTCAACTGCATGGATTACGGACCTTGTACACTGTTTTGAATGGTTGAGAAAAACCATTATACCACGCCACAGCAAGTCTTGTCCAGGCAAGAGCTGCCTGCGATGACAACTCAAAAGCTGCTTGCATAATTTATGCTACTATCAGAAATTATAAAAAGTAATAATTTCATTCGTTGAAACTGTATAAGGTAAATCAAATTAAAAAAATCATTACAGATATGTTTCGATGATATAAAAGGAAGGATTGCATGATGTCAAATATGAATGTTCACAGCTCAGCACGAATCTGTGATAAGAAAATATTGCAATTAATAATAGCAAGTTTCATCTAATAATCAACAAATTTAACAACATAAATTTTCCCCAAATCGTAGCTTTTCCATCATACCTGCGTTGCCACCATCAACTTGAAGAGTTGCGGTTGCTGGAGGTACAGTGCTCGAGTTGCAGTTTCTGTAATGACACATTTCAACATAGCAGATACAGAATACTGGTAATGCATATCCACATACGTTAGATATTTAAAGCCCCACTGTACTACTTGCTCCCTCTTTATAGAAAACAATGCCTGATCGGTGACCATATATTGGTCCCCCATGATCCTCTTTTTCTTATGTTAATTGAGAGCCGAGTTGATGAGATATAGCCACCTGTCAGTGACCACCCTGGTGGTCTAATCCCTCCTGGCCGAACTAAAGTACAGACAGCCTTTAAATATGCAATGTCTCTTTAGTCTTTGTAATAGAAGTAACATATTTCCCAAACACAATTACAACAAATTGAAATCATTATGAATTATTAATTTTAAGATACAACCGAAGAACCTTACTGTTTTTTTTTACATGAAAAATACAAATATTCTGAGTTTTGCAGTGAACAAAAGCAACAAAAATGTTTTACCAATTATATTCAAAGGGTGAAAACTGAAAAGACAAAGGGGGTAATATATTGATTTATAAATGTTAATTGGGATGATATAACAGCTATAGCTATATTTCATTACTTGTTCCAACAATTTTGGATCTACATGTACTTATTTCTACTAATTACAGAAATAATTGTTTACGGTAAATCTTCCCTATTATGTATCTTAGAATATAAAGTTACCAACTTCTGTCATGTGATTTCATTACGTCTAAATGATTCTTGTTCATTACTCAAATTGTTTTCAACATTTTGTCATGATTAAAAGATTTTGATGATGTTATTTTAACTAAAGCATTTAAATACTCCTTTTTTCACTTTATGTTTTATGTATTTATTTAGATGTAAGATATCATTACAACATCTTATCAACATTTCTAAAATAACATATTAAAAACATTTAAGAATAACAATATTATAATGTTTCTTTGAAATGTTATAATGATAACAAAATGTATGGTCTTAGAAAAAAGATGGCTCACATTTTAAAAACATTTCCTTCAAACATTTATAAGATATCATTACAACATTTAATTAACATGATTTCTAAAATAATGTATTAAAAACATTTGAGAATAACAATATTGTAATGTTTATATGAAATGTTAAAATGATATCAAAATGTATGGTCTTAAAAATAGATTGCTGACATTTTCATAACATTTCCTTCAAACATTAATAAGATATCATTACATTTAATTAACATTTCTAAATCAATATTTTAAAAACATTTTGGGATATCATCATTCAAATGTTTCTATTAAATGTTTAAATAAAATCAACATGTATGGTTTTAGAAATAGATGGCTCACATTTGAAAAACATTTCCTTCAAACATTAATATGATATCATTACAACATTTAATTAACATTTCTAAAATAACATATTAAAAACATTTGAGAATAACAATATTGTCATGTTTATATGAAATGTTAAAATGATATCAAAATGTATGGTCTTAGAAATAGATTGCTGACATTTTCATAACATTTCCTTCAAACATTTATAAGGTATCATTACAACATTTGATCAACATTTCTAAAATAACATATTAAAAACAAATTAAGAATAACAATATTGTAATGTTTCTATGAAATGTTAAAATGATATCAAAATGTATGGTCTTAGAAATAGATGGCTCACATTTTTATAACATTTCCTTCAAATGTTTAAAATATATCATTAATATGTTATATCAACATTTTTGATGAATTAGGCGCTACTTACCAAAATTTGGTGTATACTTTAACTTATATGCACTGTATAAGAAATTGCAGCTCAATCATGCAAATAACAAAAGACTAACATTTTCCTTGATCAATGTGTTGTCATTACAAATAAACTTGTCTGACATTCCTATTTATAATACTTTGTGAATACCTATTTCAACAATTAAAAACTGTTGTATTGTCCATACTATTTTATTAAACTGTCATTGGTCTGATAATGATTTTTTTGTTGCTATCAGCACTGATTTTTAAAAAAAAATCATTGAAGGGAAATTCCACCCTCATATTTAGTTGAATTTGATAGAAACAGACCTGTGAAAATTTGAGCAAAACAAATGAAAAATAGGAAAGTTATGAATTTGCAATCAATCAAACACAAATTGGCAAACTCTTTGACATATCTTGTGAGCTTTCTTCCCATTTGCCCTGTACTATAAAACCAATAATAGTTAATACATACTTTCCCTTTAGAAAATTATCAATCACACAATCATGTTTACCGGTAATATAATTAAAAATATGTTTCTATACAAGCACAGTATGAAACAAATCTATACTGTCATCAATAACTGAAGAAAATAAAAGTTTATGAATTTTCTGTAGATCGAGAGCAAATTGGAGAGGAGCTGGCAAGATAAATCACAGTGTTGCCGATTTGCATTTCAATGATGACAACTTAAACAAAAATCATGAATTTCATATTTTAATCAGATTTTGCTTAAACTTATATTAATTTGTTTCTCTCATTTTTCTACTTTCGTTAAAACCACTTTAATATCAGGAGGGACTTCCCCTTTACGAATTCGATTTGCCTTGAAGACAAAAGAATGTTAATCATACCTTCAGGAATTGATTGCTTAGTTTCTCCTCCTCCTTCACCTCGAGTTGTAATAGGTTCACATATCTCTTCTTCATCTTCTTGCTTTATGGTGGCATAGATCATTTCTATAAGAAATCAAGAAGAAATGTTCAACATCTCTCTTTTTTAATAGCTGTGCATATGCTACTTATTTGAAGATTTTGAGCTATTCTTCATCACTTTGTCTTTTTTCAGACCATTTCAATTCTTGTGGTGCAACTTGATGTTCAAGATATTAAGCTGGAACATAGAGAGTAAATGCTATTTACTCAATGAGTTGTTCCCTTCCTTCTAAATGTAGGCCTAGTTATCTTCATTTATATTTTTGTCTGTGTCAAGCCAACCCCACCCCTAAGATCCAAATAAAATACTACCTTAAAGATAAACTTGAGTTGTTCCCTTCCTTCTAAATATAAGCCTAGTTATCTCCATTGATATTTTTGTCTGTGTCAAGCCAACCCCACCCCCACCCCAAACATCCAAATAAAATTTAACCTTAAAGATAAACTCGAGTTCTGGTAAAAAAAGAAAAGTTATTCTCACAGAATCAAACAAAGCTTACACTGAATGTTCAAGATTACAAATAAATGTCATTTGCCAAATAATGTTGGTAGAAAATGTATACTGGCTGAGTAATGAACATAGAAAGATATGTAAATCAAGGCCCGACACCATTTGTGTAGTCCCATATACATCTTTCTGTGTATGGTGCTTGTTACTTTACCAAGACTGGGCCAAATTTATTATGATTTTGATGACTCCAGAACCTTGCAGTACACAACAATACTTACATGCTACATGATCAAATTTTTCTGATCTATTCCACACCTTTTCTTTCACAATGCAATCGCATGACCAGAACTCAACTTTGTCTTTAAACATAACTACTTTTAGACAAAATAATTAATCAGTTTATGAATTTAAAGTTACTAACAATGATTAAATAGGGTGGTCCGAGATATGCTCCAATATCAATTACTCCAGACTCTGGATTAGGGTTAAGGTTGCAATTGAAATTCAGGTGAGGTAAGAATTAGGGTAAGATTCAGACTAAGGTTATAGTGTTTGGTCCAAGATTGAAGTTTGGTTGGTTGGTGTATGATACTGACCACAGAGAATTTGTCACTTTTAAAATCATGTGTTATTAAAAAAAAATATTGTCATTATCAACCTAGCATACAATCTTTTTGAAAAATTCCAGAGGGTACCAGAGTCCACATCTTACAATGAATTATTAATTCATTCAAAACAGAAAACAGGGCAGCGCTTTACAATTTGCTTTACAAAACTTTAATAAACGGAGGTTTGTAGACAACCTATCAAAATGTGTGTACCGGTATTGAATTTAACACATACATGTATTTCAAGGGGATGTCAGTGAACTTGCACCATTGAAGGTTTTGTGGAACGATATCCCAGTTGTGAGTATAGGTCTACGTTGTATCTTTACTACTTTACTTCCTAGTCAGATCCACAAGGGGTTTTATTTTTTTAACAAATTCAGTAATAGATTAATGTTCGTTCCCAAAATCATTCAATAATATGAAGTACAACAATTTGTTTGAAATGCTTCAAAATAAGGAGCACATTAAACCAGAGTGCATCTATAAATCCTAGAGCCCAGCAAATTGGACTTCAATACCAGTACATATTCTTTTCATGTTCCAATTTTACATTTTGTTTGAATTTTTACAACCCTGAGCACCATTGTACAATAGAATTCTCTTGATAACTTCATGATACCTCGTTTGGTCGAAGGGTCTTTCATTTCATTTCTTTGCCAGTCCCCCCCCCCCACCCATCGTTCTTGACATCAACTCTACCACACTGGAAGCTGTCTCATCCCATCAGCTCCTAGGGGTCTTCCTTCAGGATGATCTCAAATGGGATGGGCAGGACAGCCGTTTGATCTCTAACGCTTCCAGAAGACTTTATCTCCTGACTAAGCTTCGGAGGAATGGTGTTACCACCCAGGATCTTGCTACTATCTACATAATGTTGTACATCAGGCCAGTGCTAGAATTTGCAGCACCTGTTTGGACATCAGGGATCACAAACATCCACTCTGTAAGCATCGAGCAAGTTCAAAGGAGAGCTCTCAGGATCATTAGCTACCCTGACTCCAGAACTAATGATGAACTGCAATCTCATCATGGCGTCTCCTCTCCTAAAGAGAGACGCACATCCCTTTTTTTTAAGATTTGCAAAATCACTCCTCCAATCTAAAGTTCATCGACATCTCCTGCCTGAGAGCAGAGTCAATAACTGTAGCCGTACCCCGCGAAATGCACTTGATTTGTCCTTGCCTAAGATGAGAACTTCGAGGTACCGAAATTCTCCCATCCCATCTTTCAATCGTTCCTTGAATAATAATAAATAGAGGCTTAGGTAATTATCAGCATGTTATATATCATGTATTTCAGCAATATAATTATGTGCAATTATGCAATATCAACTGTCATGATGATTGGCGCAGCAGGTTCTCACATTCATTCGTATTTTGATATTGCATGTCTTTTATCCCTTTTCTCTATTTGAACTTGTTTCTTTTCAAATGTCCTTTTCTCTTCTTCACTTCTGGTCTTTCCTTCTATTTTTTAAAATTTCACTCCCACCCCCTCTCTCTCATCTCTCTGTCTGTCTGTCTCTCTCTCTGCTGTCTCTGCCTCCTCCTCTTTCTCCTGTCATCTCTCCTTCCTCCTCTCTGTTTTTCTCTGTCTCACTTTCTGTCTCTCCCTGCTCCTCTCCAACACTTTCTCTTCTGATGATGTTTCACAGTACAACATTCTTTAATCATCTGCCATTGTTACTGTGACCAATGATATTCATGTCACACTTGTGATTACCACACTGCCAATACTCCAATTTTAATACTTTTTAATATTTATTACACCATCTGAATGAAATTTGTATTGCATTTTAATCACAGTTTTTCCTACGTTACAGTTAATTAAATTCCCGTATCTGTATGCATTTTATTTTATTTGTTTTGATTTAAACATTTACTCAATTTCGCTACCAATATTTTACAGTATGTAATTTATTATTATTAATTTGAATCTTGAATCTTGAAAAAAAGGTGGATAGTAAGCTTAGTCTTTTGAGAAAATCCTTTATCACATTAAGGACACTGATAAGGCATTTCATCTGTGTGCGTCCTTACATGACGGATAAGATTCCATTGATGAGAAAAACCCTTATCACAATGAGAACACTTAAAGGGTTTCTCTCCTGTATGTGTTCTAAGGTGGATAGTAAGCTTAGTCTTTTGAGAAAATCCTTTATCACAATAGGGACACCGATGAGGCTTTTCTCCAGTATGCATTCTTACATGACAGGTAAGATTACTTTGGTGAGAAAAACCCTTATCACAATGAGAACACTTAAAAGGTTTCTCTCCTGTATGTACTCTAAGGTGGCTAGAAAGACTAGACTTTTGAGAAAATCCTTTATCACAATTGGGACACCGATACAGCTTTTCTACACTGTGCGTTCTAGAATGGGTTGTAAGATTACTTTGGTAACAAAATACCTCATCACAATGGGAACACTGATAAGGCATTTCTCCTGTATGCGTCCTTACATGACGGATAAGATTACATTGGTGAGAAAAACCCTTATTACACCGGGAACACTTAAAGGGACTCTTTCCTGTATGAGTTCTAAGGTGGATTGTAAGCTTAGTCTGTTGAGAAAATCCCTTATCACAATGTGAACACTGATAAGGCATTTCTCCTGTATGCGTCCTTACATGACGGATAAGATTACATTGGTGAGAAAAACCCTTTTTACACTGGGAACACTTAAAGGGTTTCTCTCCTGTATGTGTTCTAAGGTGGATAGTAAGCATAGTCTTTTGAGAAAATCCCTTATCACACTGGGAACACTTAAAGGGTTTCTCTCCTGTATGTACTCTAAGGTGGTTAGAAAGACTAGACTTTTGAGAAAATCCTTTCTCACAATAAGGACACTGATAAGGCATTTCTCCTGTATGCGTCCTTACATGACGGATAAGATTCCATTGATGAGAAAAACCCTTATCACAATGAGAACACTTAAAGGGTTTCTCTCCTGTATGTGTTCTAAGGTGGATAGTAAGCTTAGTATTTTGAGAAAATCCTTTATTGCAATAAAAACACTGATGAGGCTTTTCTCCTGTATGCATTCTTACATGACAGGTAAGATTACTTCGGTGAGAAAAACCCTTAGCACAATGAGAACACTTAAAAGGTTTCTCTCCTGTATGTACTCTAAGGTGGCTAGAAAGACTAGACTTTTGAGAAAATCCTTTATCACAATTGGGACACCGATACAGCTTTTCTACACTGTGCGTTCTAGAATGGGTAGTAAGATTACTTTGGTAACAAAATACCTCATCAAAATGGGAACACTGATAAGGCATTTCTCCTGTATGCGTCCTTACATGACGGATAAGATTACATTGGTGAGAAAAACCCTTTTTACACTGGGAACACTTAAAGGGTTTCTCTCCTGTATGTGTTCTCAAGTGGATAGTAAGCATAGTCTTTTGAGAAAATCCCTTATCACACTGGGAACACTTAAAGGGTTTCTCTCCTGTATGTACTCTAAGGTGGCTAGAAAGACTAGACTTTTGAGAAAATCCTTTCTCACAATAAGGACACTGATAAGGCATTTCTCCTGTATGCTTCCTGACATGACGGATAAGATTCCATTGATGAGAAAAACCCTTATCACAATGAGAACACTTAAAGGGTTTCTCTCCTGTATGTGTTCTAAGGTGGATAGTAAGCTTAGTCTTCTGAGAAAATCCTTTATCACAATAAGGACAAAGATGAGGCTTTTCTCCTATATGCATTCTTACATGACAGGTAAGATTACTTTGGTGAGAAAAACCCCTACCACAATGAGAACATTTAAAAGGTTTCTGTCCTGTATGTACTCTAAGGTGGCTAGAAAGACTAGACTTTTGAGAAAATCCTTTATCACAATCGGGACACCGATACAGCTTTTCTACACTATGCGTTCTTGAATGGGTAGTAAGATTACTTTGGTAACAAAATACCTCATCACATTGGGAACATTTATAAGGCTTTTCACCATGGTGTGTTCTTAAATGACAGGTCAGGGAAACTCTATGACAAAATCTCTTATCACACTGAGAACACTTGAAAGGCTTTTCTCCACTGTGTGTTAGTAAATGGCCACTTAGTTTACTAATATGAATAAAACCCTTATCACAGTGGGAACACTTGAAAGGTTTCTCTCCTGTTCGTGATCTAAGGTGGTGAGTATGCTCATACTCGCCCTGGTGTGTTTTCTGATGTAGTATCAGAGTGTTCTCATCAGTAAATGCCTTACTGCAATGTATACAAAGATGGGACTTCTCTCCACTGCATCCTGTTATATGTGGGTGTATCTTGTCCTTTCCATTGTCCAACTCTTTATCTGGGGAGGAAAATATACAGTAATCCTATTATCCAACTATTTACTTCATGAACAATGTTGAATCAAACTCAAAGAAAGACTCATTGCAAGCAACATTTATAATGTTCTCTTTGTTGTGATGACGCAATCTTTGTATAATTGTCATCCCTTGTCTGTGGTAAGCCCCTTCATTGAGAAATTCAAACTGGACAAGGTTAATTTGGGATGCTATCCTCCTTCATGAATATCTACTGTTCTTTAGGAGTATTCAACATATGCATTCTCCTTTGCATTTGAGTTTAGTTATCTTTGAGTTTTCATGTGCTATTTAAGATAAATGCCTTATGTACCTAATGTGTGTGGAATGACGCAATGGACAAGTGTGTAGAGAGAGATCTTAATTGGACATCACGAGACAAGCAATAAGTCGGCTGTTGAAAATAAAGTAAGGTGATCTTATGGATTGAAAGGTTGAAACATGGTCTCTTGAAAGCTTGGGTTCATTGCATTGCTTTAAACAATGAAGCACTTAAGCAAGAAGAAGAATTTAAGTTTTTTTTAAAGATTTAAGACCAAGTGACACATGTACAGTGCGTCCCAGATAAAATGAAACCGAGAATTATCAATATTTTATTATAACTTAATCACAATTATAATTGATAAATGACACATGTTTGGAAAGCTTAGATCCTCCTCTTTCATTTGATGCAACTCATATAATGCATATTTCACGCATGAGTGATTAAAATGAATTTGAAGAGAGGAAACGAAAAAGTAGTTTGGCGGACGGTTTCTGAATTTTAAAGAGAAAATCACATTTCTAGAAAGTTGAGCTTTTGCCCTTTCATATGACACCTCAACCAGGAAAAATGAGCAAGGAATGACAAAGTTTTGTTTGTTTAAAGTAGTGCTTGCATTTCCATAATTTTATCAAACAAATTCGTTTTCACTGGCCGCCTGTCGTAGTAATAAGCAGAATTGACAAAAGACTTATCTCCGTTTCGTTGACAATCGGTGGTAGACGAAAGACTTGATGCATGGCTGATTGTCAACAAAACGGAGTTAAGTCTTTTGTTAATTCTGTTGGTTGCTATGGCAGGCAGCCAGTGAAAACAAATTCGTTTAATGAAATTATGGAAATGCAAGCACTACTTTAAATAAACAGAACTTTGTTATTACTAGCTCATTTTTCCTATCTAAGGTGTCATATTAAAGGGCAGAAACTCAACTTTCTGGAAATGTGATTTTCTCTTTGAAATTCAGATATTGTCCGCCAAATGACTTTTTGGTTTCCTCTCTTCAAATTCATTTTAATCACTCATGCGTGAAATATGCATTATATGAGTTGCATCAAATGAAAGAGGAGGATCTAAGCTTTCCAAACATGCGTCTTTTATCAATTATAATTGTGATTAAGTTATAATAAAACATTGATAAATCTGGGTTTCGTTTTTTTCTGGGACGCAATGTATATGGCTTGATCCACATCAATAGTTGGATCAGCCCAAACTCGGTGCAAAGAGATTTTAACAACACTCAAAGACCCTGGTACTCTGGAACCCATAGCAGAAAAAGAAAATGAATAGGGTATCAGACAACAGAACAGGTTACTTTTTATTATGGGATAGATTTCAAGGTCACAGTGATTGTGATTTTGGAATTAGGAGCTACTTACCAAATTTGGTGTATACTTTAATTTATATGCACTGTTTAAGAAATTGCAGCTCAATCATGCAAATTACAAAAGACTAACATTTTCCTTGATCAATGTGTTGTCATTACAAATAAACTTGTGTGACATTCCTGTTTATAATACTTTGTGAATATCTATTTCAACAATTCAAAACTGTTGTATTGTCCATACTATTTCTTTAAACTGTCATTGGTCTGATAATGATTCTTTTTTGCTATCAGCACTGATTTTTGTTTTTTTTAATCATTGAAGGGAAATTCCACTCTCATATTAAGTTGAATTTGATAGAAACAGACCTGTGAAAATTTGAGCAAAAACCAATGAAAAATAGGAAAGATGAATTTGCAATCAATCAAACACAAATTGGCAACTCTTTGACATATCTTGTGACCTTTCTTCCCATTTGCCCTGTACTATAAAACCAATAATAGTTAAAGGTACTATGTCCCATTTGCAGGCCAAAAAAATGAAAAAGTTAAATTCCAACTGCATTTGAAAGATACTACTTATTTAGAACTTCCCTAAAAAGGTGGGGCTTGAAAATGTCTTCAAGTGGGAAAATAATGACTATTAGTTGTCAAATCGACTTTAGGGCTATAGAGCCCAAAAGTAACAGTCTTGATTTTCAAACAATTGTACTGAATTGTCATACGTTTTATGCTGCACAAAGATTCAATCAGTTTAATCTTGGCCATCACAAGAAGTGGGTTATTGATGTAGACAAATGCTCATGTACCCTTTACAACTCTTTTCATGTATGTTATTACCAAAGAAGAAACTAGATGGAATTTTGACTGCGCGCAGTCGAAAATGATGCCTCCGCCATAGAGCAATTTAAACAAGTTTGGAGTTTAAATCTCCAGTGGTTCTTGAGATATCATGATAACAATCTCAATGTATGGAATTTCATAAGTTGACCTCTGTGACCCTTGACCTTTGACCTACGTGCTCCAAAATCTAATCAGAATGTCTTCCTATGGTGATACACACTATCATTAAGTTTGAAGTTTAAATCTCCAGTGGTTCTTGAGATATTATGATATGGTGATACATACTATCATTAAGTTTGAAGTGAAAATTCTCCAGTGGTTCTTGAGATATCGCGATAACGATCTCAATGTATGGAATTTCATAAGTTGACCTCTGTGACCCTTGACCTTTGACCTACGTGCTCCAAAATCTAATCAGATTGTCTTCCTATGGTGATACACACTATCATTGAGTTTGAAGTTTAAATCTCCAGTGGTTCTTGAGATATGATAACAATCTCAATGTATGGAATTTCATAAGTTGACCTCTGTGACCCTTGACCTTTGACCTACGTGCTCCAAAATCTATTTTGATCGTCTTCCTATGGTGATACATACTATCCTTAAGTTTGAAGTTTTTACATCTCAAGTGGTTCTTGAGATATCATGATAACAATCTCAATGTATGGAATTTCATAAGTTGACCTCTATGACCCTTGACCTTTGACCTACGTGCTCCAAAACGTAATCAGATTGTTTTCCTATAGTGATACACACTATCACTAAGTTTGAAGTTTAAATCTCCAGTGGTTCTTGAGATATCATGATAACAATCTCAATGTATGGAATTTCATAAGTTGACCTCTGTGACCCTTGACCTTTGACATACGTGCTCCAAAATCTAATCAGATCGTCTTCCTATGGTGATACATACTATCCTTAAGTTTGAAGTTTAAATCTCAAATGGTTCTTGAGATATCGCGCTAACAAACTCAATACAAGGAATTTCATAAGTTGACCTCTGTGACCTGTGACCTTTGACCTACGTACTCCAAAATCTAATCAGATCGTCTTCCTATGGTGATAAATACTATTCCCGAGTCTTAAGTTTAAATCTTAAATGGTTCTTGAGATATTGTGATAACGGTCAAACGGGACGGACGTACGGACGGACAACCCGAAAACATGATGCCTCCGGCACCACCTTCGGTGGCGGAGGCATAAAAAAGCCAGTCAGTCACTCAATAGTGTCTGACAGTGAAGTCTAGCAAGTCAACGGGTTTCCTTGCATAATTTGAATACGAGGACACTGCTAACGTTTGAATTTCACAGATAGGACATACACGACATATTCATAATTCCTGCAAAGTTCTACAGAATTTGAGGTTGGCAGCAAAAGGGACATAGTACCTTTAATACATACTTTCCCTTTAGAAAATTATCAATCACACAATCATGTTTACCGGTAATATAATTAAAAATATGTTTCTATACAAGCACTGTATGATACAAATCTATACTGTCATCAATAACTGAAGAAAAAGAAGTTCATGAATTTTCTTAGATCGAGAGCAAATGGAAGAGGAGCTGGCAAGATATGTCACAGTGTTTCTGATTTGCAATTCAATGATGACAACTTTAAAAAATATCATGAATTTCATATTTCAATCAGATTTTGCTTAAACTTATATTTATTTGTTTCTCTCATTTTTCTACTTTCGTTAAAACCACTTTAATATCAGGATGGACTTCCCCTTTACGAATTTGATTTGCCTTAAAGACAAAAGAATGTTGATCATACCTTCAGGAATTGATTGCTCAGTTTCTCCTCCTCCTTCACCTTGAGTTGTAATAGGTTCAAATATCTCTTCTTCATCTTCTTGCTTTATGGTGGCATAGATCATTTCTATAAGAAATCAAGAAGAAATGTTCAACATCTCTCTTTTTTAATAGCTGTGCATATGCTACTTATTTGAAGATTTTGAGCTATTCTTCATCACTTTGTCTATTTTACAGACCATGTCAATTCTTGTGGTGCAACTTGATGTTCAAGATATTAACCTGGAACATAGAGAGTAAATGCTATTTACTTATGAGTTGTTCCCTTCCTTTTAAATATAGGCCTAGTTGTACCTTCATTGATATTTTTGTCCGTGTCAAGCCAACCCCACTCCCACCCCAACATCCAAATGAAATCTTACCTTAAAGATAAACTTGAGTTGTTCCCTTCCTTCTACATAAATGCCTAGTTATCTTCATTTATACTTTTTGTCTGTGTCAAGCCAACCCCACCCCCACCATCCAAATAAAATCTAACCTTAAAGATAAACTCAACTTCTGGTAAAAAAGGAATTCTCATACAATCATTGACCAATTTTGCATGAGCGCGCAATGCACGTAGACTGCATAGGGATGCGTGCAATCTCTATGGGAAGGATTTTAGCACACAACATCGGGTGCGCGATCAGACATCCTAGTTTTAACAAATTCAGTAATAGATTAATGTTTGTTCCCAAAATCATTCAATAATATGAGGTACAACAATTTGTTTGAAATGCTTCAAAATAAGGAGCACATTTAACCAGAGTGCATCTACAAACCCTAGAGCCCAGAAAATTGGACTTCATGCATCAGTTTATACTCCTTTCATGTTTCAATTTTACATTTTGTTTTAATTTTTAATTATTACCACCCTGAGCACCATTGTACAATAGAATTCTCTTAATAACTTCATGATACCTTGTTTGGTCGATGGGTCTTGTCCTTCTTGCTTGGTGGTGAAGACCACACCTGTTTAATATGAACAAAGTAAAGATATTTTCATATTATCTGAGAGGTAAAATTTGATCTGGTTACCTATTATTGGCTACAAAGAGAAGAATAAATTTTATAACCATATGAATTTTGTAACCAAATAAAACATAATTTTCCAATAACTTGCAAGACTGAATGTCATTGCTTGAAACAGAGGGAAAAGAACATTGAAGGACATCTATAGATGTATGCAATTAGTTCTATAATATTAATAATAAGGATATTTTCAGTTTTTTATTGCAATTTGCAAGCAGGAATGTGCCCCAAGGATGCATCCTCCCTATTCACAACAAAAACATTCATATTTTCTGGCTCGCTCAAACAATTTAAAGTTTGATTTTCCTTTTAACAGATATTCAACCCTGATAGCAAACTACTCTAATACCCCCTTCACATACACAGATTTTTCTTACGAGTCCTTACGGATCGCCAACTCGTAGTCAATCACAAGCATCCGTAAATAACTTGTCACAACTCGTAGACACTCTTAAGGATCCGTGAAAGGAGAGGCAAATTATTTGACATGTCAAAAATCTTCTTACGATTGTCCACGGATTGATTTGTCCGTAAATAGCTCGTAAATAGCTCGTAACCATCCGTCAACCGCTCGCAACAACACGCCACCATCCGTAAACTGCTCGCAAGAATCCGTAAATGACTCGTAACAGATTTTTGTAACGATTCGTTATGATAAGTTTACGATCAGTTTACCGATTATTTACGGATTATTGCGAGCAGTTTAAGGATGGTTACGTGTGCTTACGTGGTGTTTACGATTTTATTCGGGTCATTTTACGATGGCTTTACGGATTGATACAGGTTATTACGAGCATTTTAAGTGTAATTACGAGTACTTTACGAATAGATACGTATACTTTACGTATGCTTACAAACTGTTTACGATTTGGGGAAAGGTATAAAAGCTGCAAATTCGAACACTTCATTTTCAGTTATTATTTTTGGCTAAAAATCGTGAGGACTCGTAAATACTCGTAACATACTCGTAACTCTTTGTAACAACACGTAAACAGGTCGTAACTAACACGTTAGTTGCTCATAGTTATCCGTGACAAGTCGTATTAATTCTTGGACTGTTGCCGTAAATACATCGTAATAACTTGTAATGATCCATAATAAACCGCAAACAGTTCGTAATAACTCTTAAACCGGTCGCAAAAGTGGCCAAATTTTTGTAACGACACGTAAACAGGTCGTAACTAACACGTTAGTTGCTCATAGTTATCCGTGACAAGTCGTATTAATTCTTGGACTGTTGCCGTAAATACATCGTAATAACTTGTAATGATCCATAATAAACCGCAAACAGTTCGTAATAATTACTCTTAAACCGGTCGTAAAAGTGGCCAAATCGTAAGGATCCATGAAAGATCCGTGAATTTGTGCGAACCGTAAGGACTCGTAAGAAAAATCGGTGTATGTGAAGGGGGTATAAAAGAGAGCAGAAAAATCTGAGAAGTAGATGGGGGAAAGTTGGAACAAATCGGTCAAAAATTAAGAAAGTTGTTATTACTAAACATATGGGCACTCCAAATTGGCTGAATCTGTTAATTCATTATGACGTACTGCTGGACCACCCTCCTATTTTTTCCAACACACAAAATTACTAAAACATAAATTTTTCAAAATCTATGACTCGGGTGTGTCTTTTCCTTTTAGAGAACCTTAAAAACATTATATACACAATATATTTTTAGTAGTACCCCATGGGAGAAGGAGCGGAAGAGAAAAACAGAAAGTAATGGTATTTTTGTACGACAAACATTCCAGTAACCATATCGCCGATTTGGGGATTTGCAGAGACTTGGTGATATCATATTTTAAATACTCATAGACTTCCTTATTTTTGTACGATCTTGTTCTAACTTTCACCAATCCACGATTTGCTATCAATGTTTGATTTTCCTTCAAGCACCTATAGCATACCGTCTTCAGTTACAGGCTGACCCTCATATATCAAACGATCTGAACTTGGAATGGAAAGACACGTCTTCTTCTCAACTTCTCCTTCCTCCTTGATGCAGATGTTTCCTGTACATGTAAAAATAAAAAATCATTAAAACTCTTGACCACTATAGACTAATCATTTCTATAATACAGAGTGAAGTAGATACTTGTGTTATTTATGAATATGCGACTTGTGTTTTTGTATATTCATGTACTAGTATTATATATCTGTTTTGAGGTTGTATTGGTGCAAATATTGTAAACATTCTTGATTCTCAGCTAGCGGACTGACTTGTTTTGAAGTTCTTTTTTTTCTTCTTCAGGATTTGATGTGTACGGTGAGAGAATGAAGGTCAACCTAAAAATGCATTCTAGTGGGCTCTCACTGGGGCAATCGACACCATTTGGGTGTTTACCAAATAATAAGTGTTGTCAATCACCATGATTAATAGCCTTCAGTAATATGACCAACAGGCCTTACATCATGTATGTAATGCTCTGCTTATTCCACCCATCCTCATACATGCATGTATATGGTAAAGCCATTATCTTTAATCTTTCATTTCCCACACCAGAAAACTCTTTGAGAGACTAGGGCATAGATGCCAACCTTCATCAACAAAAAATATTCTTAAAAGGAAAAAACAGAATTTTTGAGAAAAAAATCTCTCGCTATACTACAGCTGTCTTTTTGAACAATCGTACAAACTGTGTACAAATCAAACACGTGGGTTGTTTGCAACGTGCGCAGTTTGGGCCCTGTATCACCGTACTGCGTGTATCTTTTGAAGATATAGGTGCATAATAGGCATACAACACAAAGCCCATGATCGGGAATTAAGAAAAACATCAATAATTTTTTTTGGTAAATAAAACAAAACATTAAAAAAATATACTGAAGTATTCATAGCAAAAAAAAAGAACAAATACGGCAAAAATGGAACACTTGGCATCTCTGCTAGGGGTATTTCTTGATGGGACTACGGTTTGCTGTTTGCGGACTTTTACACCCATCAATGGTATTTCCACCAAATCTGATGTCAGCGTATTATGACCTTGGCACATGGAAACTGCCAGCAATCTCCCTTTACATTTTCAATTGCACATGCCTTACACTCGTGAATCACAATACTTTTTTAAGTGTATTGAATATAGCTTTAATATTTTTGTTTAAATCAGCGCAGAGTTGAAATAATCTGTATAAAAAAAAGTGTATATTATCTGTATCCTTAATATTATTCTTTTCTTTTAAGATAGAGCTTTCTTTACTAGTTTAAGGAATCTCCTCAGTGGCAATCTTATACTGTTTTTGCACAATTTATGTACTAGAGGTACCATCTTTAAGGTCCAGCTCCTTAAAATTTTTCAGACTTGCAATAGGTCTACTCTTCACACCTTTGTAATTTGTATGTGTTAATTACGTTATAATTACTGAGTGAAAACAAATGTCCGTCTCACAGCAACACAAACAAAGACAAAAGAAATCACACTCACAGGGCAATTATTTTGAGATAAAAAGGAGTACTGTATATATGTTGAACTTATATTGTCAAAGTCATCAGAAACATTACCAAAAACAGCACAACACATTGACACACTCCAGTCAACCATACCTTCATCACGTTCATGTGATGACTGAAGAGTTCCCTCTCCTTCTCCATCTGCACTTGAGAGAGACGTCCAACAATCAATTTCTTGCTTCATCGCCATGTTATCTGTGTTTGAAACAATATTTGATAAAATGTTTTGCCTTGTCGTTAAATATCATTGTCATCGAGTGGGTACACAACACATGGGCGTGTAAAGTCTTCCAGGAATATCTGTGCTTTTTAAACATAATTTCTATGGCACGACAAACTTTGGGGGAACTGAGAATGAGCGGAAGTCGATAGTGAAAGAGATGTGAATGAATATGGGGGAGGGATCGAGAAGCAAAATGAAAGAAACTTAAGAAAGAAAAGAAAACCTGCGAAAACTGCATTTTAACGGCAAATATAATTCTGTATTTTTAAAGTAAATGATTCTGTATTTTTAGTAAGAAAAAAGATCAAATTGTTAAAAGGCAAGATTTGAGAGGGAAAATAAGTTTAACAAAATATTCGAAAGATGATTAACTTCAATAGAAAAAGAGAAATGATGAAGATAATTTCTTTTTCCTTCTCATCTCTAAACGACTACATGTAAAGACTATCAACATTTCACCCACTTTAATCTCCTCTTGGCTCTTCGGATAATCAGTTGGCGTAATCATGCTCAAGCACTCTCCGTCTCTGTTTCTCTCTTCGACTCTCCTTGCCTCCTAAATATCTGTCTTTTCACTGTTCTATTCTAATCCCTCGCGTTTCCTTTCTCCGGGTTTCTCACCTTGCTCTCTCTCTCCCAATCTCTTATCTCTTATCTCTCTGTCCGTCGTGCACGCACACTCACCTCCACGCTTTGTACATTATTTTAAGAAAGACAAGAATTGCGACATACTCATCTTGTTTGTCCTTCGTTTAGGGATAGTTGAGTTCTGTTTTCAGATCGCAAATGCCTTCAAAGTGCATGGTTATTGCTCTTATTCTTATCTATGACATTTCTAGTGCCCTTTTGGAACCTGAAATTGCTATGAATGTAATTTTAGACCCCCAAAATTGTGAAATTTAGCCAATACGATCATACCAATTCAGCCCTACTTCAAAAAAATAAGGTGACCGTTGATTAATTAATTGATTAAAAATAACAATACATGGGCCGACTGGTTGTGGGTAATATAACCAACACGAAAAAGCCAATTGGCATTGGCTGAAATACGACATAAAAAGGCGCTATTTCGTTGTTCAATGGCTTTTTCAAATTATTGAATATTTGTGGTGGTACACAATTACATGTACAGGTACATGTATTAGAAACTGTTCTATTTATGGATATTTCAGCTGTCTCTGAACCGATTTTTATCAAACAAAGATGATGTTGTCATTTAAATTGTATGTTCTTTCAAATTTCACACTCAGTTTTTCATTATCTCACGAAAAAATTATATTATGTAGCACCCTCTGCAACAGAACTCAACTATCCCTTTAAGTTACCAGTATGTAGGCCATCTCTCCTAGAGGGGGGGGGGGGGGGTGATAGGGGAGTTACTCACATATTAAGATATACTGTACAGGGGTGTGCCACTCTGATGGGTAACTTTTTCACCCAAAAATCCCTAAACATGGGTCCCATTTTTAACAAAAATACCCCTGAATATGGGTCCGCTTTTTCAAAATTTTCAGGGCTTTTGCCATGCAAACACCCCCAAATTTTAGAAAATGGGCTTTACTTCGAAAAAAAAAATCCGCCAAAATGACCCTTAAAAATGGGTAGGGGTTTTGACTGAGGCTTCAGCAGCACAACCCCGTCAAAACCAAATCTGAGAACAAGCTAACTCGGCCAAGCTGCAAAAACGGTCACTTTACCCTAACTCTAACTAGCTAGGTGATAATATTTTAATGATATTGATATCACCAAGCCTTAAACGGCTCCCATACAAGCATGCAGAGAGGCATGTAAACAAACCCTAAAATGTGTCCGAAGTCACACCTTGGTCAGCAGCCTTAATGAATTTTATGCCACTTCTATTTCTTATGCTAAATCGGAGGTAAAAATAACAAAATTTTAGCAAATATCTTACCAGAGCGATGCAGCTTAGATCCCTTAATGTAAATGTGCTGCTTCCGTAAAATGCGCTGTATGAGTGTTATACAGTGCATTTACGGAAGTGCCAGTCAGAGCTCAACACCTTTGTATTGAGACCATAAAGTCACACGCTACACATGAAAAGGGAGCTTAGCATTTCAAAGAATTTGTTAGAAGTCTGTACGATCTAGATATAGTGGAGATAGGAAGGAAGGAAGAAATGCCTAAAAACGGACCAGAATCGTACAAACAAATCTCTTTAAAGGGCCCATGACATTGAAATACCTGTGAATTCCTTTTGGTGTGCAGTCCTGCATACATCTCTTATTTTGATATGTAAACTTCTGAATTTGTTTCATAGATTTTTAAATATTTTTTGAAATATTTGTTTTTCAAACTTGCTAAGCTCCACCACAAAAACCTCCAGATCTCATTCCCCTTGTGACATCATCTGTCAGTCATCAATGAGCTAACTTGAGAAAGTGTCATGTAACTTTACCAAAGTTGACCACCTGTTACAATACCACACACAATAGCGACATTTAAGTTGCTATGTCAGACATGTCAGACTAAACTAATATTCTAGAATAGACAATGGTATGTAATTTCCCCCAGCTTAGCACACGTTCATAATAGAATTGCATGCTTCCATACATATGTACAATACATCATCATTGCCTTTGTCTTTCTGGTGATGCTACAGCATGTCTGACATAGCAACTTGTATGTTGCTTTTGTGTTAAGTAATGTAACAGGTGGTCGACTTCGGCAAAGATACATACCACTTTCTCAAGTTAGCTCATTGATGACTGACAGATGATGTCACAAGGGGAATGAGATCTGGAGGTTTTTGGGGTGGAGCTTAGCAAGTTTAAAAAACAAATATTTCAAAAAATATTAAAAAATCTATGAAACAAATTCAGAAGTTTACATATCAAAATATGAGAAGTATGCAGGACTGCACACCAACAGGAATAAAATTGTATTTTGATTACATGGGCCCTTTAATTCTTGTTCCTGAATAGCCCTTTTGACCTTTTGCTTTTTATTTTTGGTAGATTAACGTAGGATACTATTAATTTATGAACTATTGTATTTTGGTTGTAGTGATTTGTAATTATGTACATGTATTATTTTTTTTGCAAAGTTTTAATGTTAATTGAATTGATTTAATTTGTAATGCAAATTCTGTTTTCTTTACTTATCAGCTATCAACGATGCGTCTCAATTTAGTGTTTCTGTGTTTCTGAGTGGTCTAGGCATCGTGCGTTAAAATTAAAAGATCACTGCGCACGCACGCCGAGAAGCCCGTTTCAAATCGGGCAAAGCTAGTTTCCATGCAATCGAAACCGGGCTGACCAGATTAAACTTTATAAAAAGCAGAAACACAAAGTTGCAAACCATCCAGAGACTCCTAATAAATTGCGTTACTTATTAATTAATTATATCATTACAAATCTTTATCCTCAGTTTTCTTATGTACAACTGATTTTCTAATAAAATTAAAGATATGGCGTATATATTCAATACCGAATGAACGCCATTAAACTATTACCTACAACAACAACACCTGAACAACAACATATGGTGCCCGCTCCCTACTGACTGTGTATATGCGTCCGAAAACTACCTCGCTAGGCCGAAAACTACCGCCGAAACAGTGAAAATGAAAATCAATATTGCCATGGCAATTCATGATTTTTTTCTGGAATTCGTTTTTTGTTTGAAATTAATGATAGTATTGGTTTCATGATTGAACAAAAAAAATGATAATAAATAGGAAGTAAAGAGTCCAAAAATAGGATTTTGCCTAATTAGATCTAAGTGGGTGGCCGAAAACTCCCTCCTTCTATTCTAACTAAGTTCAAAGTTGAAAATTTTTATTTTACTGCTACAATTGTGCTACTGCTAGATCTAGAGATCCATTTAGACCTAGAGTAAAGTACCCGGTTTTCGGCCACTTAAGACAAAATCCTATTTATTGGACTCTTTACTTCCTATTTATTATCATTTCTTGTTCAAATCATGAAGCAAATATTATTATTATTCAAACAAAAAAAGAATCCCCAAAAAAAATCACGAATTGCCATGACAATATTCATTTCAATTTTCACTGTTTTGGAGCCGGTTATCGGCCGAGCGTTTCAGTTTACGGCCGCATGTACAAAGTCAATAGGAAGCGCTCGCGCGCGCCGTGCGTTTGTGCGCTGATGTATAGCACAAGCGGGCGGAGCAGGTATCCCACGCCGGAGCTCCCGGGTGCTCGCCTGACCGAATACAGGCACAGCGGTGATCGGAAGTTGGAATCTGAATTAGACGGACATATCGTGTGTGCGTCGCGGTGTGCGGCTGCATTGATTTAATACATGCGATGAGATACTTTTGAGCTTGCGACCAGCACAAAATCGGGCTCTATATCTGAAAAATACTTGAAATAAAGCTCATTTTATGGTACCCATATTTCTTACATACACGCGTAAGAAACTCGATTTTTCAGATTTGGGTAGCGGGACCGCCGATTACATCGCTAAAATGTGATATTTTAGGATATATTTTTCATTGCAAATGTGGTTCTTCAGTGACACTGGCATGGTATGGTATGTGTGGGATATGTGTTATGCTATTATGCGATGTATTTTAAAGTGATTTTACCATGTATCCAACCAATTGGCCGAAAACCGGAGCTGACCGATTACCGGGTACTTTACTCTAGGTGTCATCATCAACTGTCACTAAAGTAGAGTAGCGATTTTTAGGGAAATCAGTTGAGTTTTGTACAGTGGTGTTTGAAATGTTGAGAATCAATAAAACAGCTTTTACGAATTTTAATACACAGCCAGCGCCAGGATAGTATTATTGCAGCTAGGCCTTAACGCCAGGTAGCTCCGACGCCGCGCGCCGACGCGAATCGGACGCCTTCTGAGCGGCGCGGCGTAGGCCTCGGATCGGAGCTCCCTGGCTGTAAATAGCGTTACAAGAGTTTGAAAATCAGTTACAATGAGAAATATTGGCGCTAATTCCTGAATTAGCGCCGAAATATTAAAACACAGTGATAAATTACCTGTGATTCATGAATTCAAATCTACTTTCTAACCAGGGCCAGGCTGCCACGGCCACCACGCTCACTTGATCATTCTCGATGACCACATATTTTACAGTTCTGTGCTTTGACCTGTTGGTGTTGTGAGCTGTACAGTCGATCTATACCGCTCTAGCTCTCTTAGTTCTCGCGTAGTACGTACATGTACACACCGGACTTATTATGGGGGTGTTTTCAAAAGGAGGGAACATGCATATGGGGCCGGGGGGCGAATTTTTTTTCCGTACTCGAGAGGCCGGGGCAAATACCCCATGTGCGCATGCGCGTGGACTTGTGATTTCTCTGCTACTTCCCATACGAAATGTACATGTATTCGCATCTACTGTGCACGATTCGCGTTCTACGAGTAAACGATGGCATAGTAGTCTTCAAACACAGACTCTGATTTGCCAGTTTGACAAAACAATTACGCATATATCGTGCGTAGCAATAGTACTAGTCAGGGGGGTTCAACTCCGCTTCTGCATCCGTCTAGCCATGGGGAGATTTTGGAGGGTCAAAAGTGCACACTGCTTCCACTTTTCATGTATTAGCCTATAGACGACAAATTTTTAGTGCACCAGCGAAATGGGGATTTTGGACTGCGCGTAGCGCGCAAAATATTTAAATTAAAATTTGGAATATTCATGAGCTCTTTTCCACTTATTAGCATATTATCGCAATGAAAAAAAGACAATGCGCATGCGTTACTATATCGACATAATCCTTAATTGGGCCGGATAAATGTAGAACAAAGGTCATGCAGAGTTGTGGAGGTGTGTGTGTTTGGGGGGGGGGGGGTAATAAACTTTTAAATGGTTGACTTAGTTGGGGCCACAAACTTCACTGTCACCAGGATGGAAAGTACATTTTAAAAAATTCAGTTCAGTTAAAAGGCAAAAATATTGACCCCATTTCACTGTGGTACCTCAATTCATTTTTTACCTCTTTTTTTTTGTTTGTTTATTAACTTAAATATTTTTTTAATCAGAAAAACTGCACTGATCATTTAGCCGACCTAACAAGTGATATATTCATATTTTTAGTGTCCAAATAATGAATCATTCTCACCTCGACTTCAATGTTCTTCATATTGTGCCCCATCCCCCAATGAAATTTAAATTTTTGCATTCGTCGCCACTGATTTTCTTGAAATTTGCCCCCCCCCCCCCCCCAACAGTAACATTTTCAATACAGGGACCCCTTCCAATATTGACATTTCCATAGGCTCTATTAACCTCCCTCCCCCATCCACACCCCAATTACCTATGCTTTCATCATTTTGGCATTGACTTTTTCTTTATTTAACCCCCCCCCCCCTCATCTTTATTGTAAACCATTTTTTATACTGTATTTATACATTAGTCTTGCCCACTCTCTTGTTACTTTTCCGCTTTCTCTCTCATTAGGAACGATGGTTAAATCTATCTCGCTGATACCAGATATAAACAAACATCAAAAGGTCGAACACCATACTCAATTCTACACAAGACTGCATCAGACCCCATCTCACCTCAGTCATACAGCATTATCATTACAGAGTGCCTACATCATCATCATAATCACCAGCATCATCACATATATTTCACAAAATAAGAAAATGAAAAGAACAGAATTAAGCAGTATCAACTAATTTATTAACATTTATGAACTCATTTATGAACATATTTTGTTTCTATAAAGATCTTTTTAAATCCAACATGACATTAACAAAAAGGATGGCAAATGGATGGGGGGGGGGGGGGGCTGTCTCTTGAATTCAAATTTTTCAGTTGTAAAAGTTTACTGTAGATTTTGAAAAAAATATTCAATAATATCAACATGCTATTTCATTATGTAAAGAACAGGTATATACTGAGTTTTATGAGTACTTTATCTGACATTGGACATTATTGTTGTTGATTTTACTACTACCTGTATTATCATTTTTATTACTACTATTATCATGATCATTGTCTTTATTGTTACTATTAGTTGGAATATTTTTGTTTTACCCCAATTTATGGAATTATTTTATAAATAATTTAAAAATAAGATCTGAGAATGTATACTATTATCTAGATCTATTATTTTTAAATTATTTTTAAAATAATTCCATAAATTGGGGTAAAACAAAAATATTCCAACTTTATGAGCGACAGTGTATAATTATATTACTACAGTATTACTATTGAACTACATCATTTTATACCCCCCCCCCTTCAATTTACCATCCAGTTCAGCATCTCTAATATATTTGTCAGAACTTGACTTAAGATTAAATATCAAAAAACTATATTACATGTACACGCATTTAAAAGAAGATATGATTACTTTCATGATCCTCGATATATCTTCTTCTTATTCTTCTGGTAATCTTCAAAAGGCGTTGTAGCCTATCACGAAGATGAACTAATACTAAAGATTACAAGTGGTGTGAGGAAGACAGACTGTTTTTAAGTGGGATAAGGAGAGTAGATGCCTCAGAAGTAGTCCCTGGCAGCTGGACTGTCAGCATGCACTATATTTGCTGGAAGTCAGTTCCATTAACTTTGGGACAGAGTGTTGGGCAAATACAAACTTGTCTATGTCGCTTCTGGCTTGGTGCAACTGGAGGGTCATGTCATGGTACTTCCTGCTCGTGATTTGTTAAAGCCCGTCTGTACTAGTTTGGCCAGGGGGATTAGACCACCCTGCAAGGTCACTGACAGGTGGTTATCTCATCAAATCAGCTCTCAATTAATATAAGAAAAAGAGGATCATGGGAGACCAGTAGGCACCGATTAGGCATTGTTTGCTATATAGAGGGCGCAAGTAGCTATAAGTAGTGCAGTGGGGAAATTTTCAAGGGAGAGCGAAGAGACCATTGACTATCTTGTGCACCATTCCCAGTCTTCTTGCAGAGTGCCTTGTAGTTGTAGATATAGTAGGCAACTAAAAGGTGCTGATCATCTCAGTCAAACTGCTGGTTCTCTTGTGGTCCCCATTGTGAAGTAGCGTCCTGGACATCTGAGATGTTGTAGGGATCCCAGACACCGGAACAGATGAGGATAGACAAGGGACTTGTACAAAAGAAGCCTGGGAATCAAACCTTCTGCATGGGACAACCTGCATAATAAAAAACAAAAAGAGAGGAGAAATCAAATAAGATTAAAACTGCTGCATTATATTGGATTTTCAAAATAGTACCTCCCCACTTTTTTTAGGTCTTGCATTTTAATTTTATTAAAAAATGATAAACTTATGTCTATCTGATAGGGCCTTTTTTGAAGAGAAGAGTAAAGGTTTAAATGTATTTCCAATTATTTTAAAAGTAATTTCCAATTCATTTTAAGTTATTATTTGCTAGACTTTTGTGAACAAAAGTTTGTTAGATATAATGTAATATTTAGGAAAAGTACCTTTGAGTACATCTTTTAATATGCTGAGAGAATAAACTGTAGCAACACCATAGTTTGTCACCTAAATAAAAAGCTAGAGAATAAATGAGAATTACAAGATATAATGCAACACAAGATGACAGTTCCCCAAATCTTTGTATAGTCCAAGTCGAGTGTGGTGTTCGCATGGGCTTAGATTATACAGCCTGAATATTTTCGAACTTCATACAAACATACCTTGCCAAAGTTCAACTTAGGTCTTAGGTGTCCTGTTCCTGATTAGATACATTTGTTGATCAGGTCCTGGTGCTCTTTGTTGCACTTCTGTGATCATTATCTGCTTCTTTGTTCCATAGCATCTACAATTAAAAGAAAACAGAAACTTAGTAAGGTTCCTGCTAATATCAAATGCATGCATTAGTTATCAGTTTATAACTTTGTTCATGTCCTTTAGAGAAAGAAATATCCATGTCATATGTAGGGTTGGATCCAGAATTCTCACCAACATAAAACTAAGGGGTGGCATAAAATCCTGAAAAAAAACTAATTATTTCAAACAAGGCACAATGACATAGGCCTAACTAAGAGCGAAATCAGGGAAGTGGGAGGTGGGGAGGGGGGGGGGGAGACACCTTTTTTGTTTTGTTTTGTTCTTGTCTAGTCTATCTAGCCTACATCCGAACTAAGCTGGACCTGGATACATAATGCCACACTAGCATGACTAGATCTAGACTAGACCCTAGCCTAGGCCAGGGCCTAGTCTATCTAGATCTATAGATCTAGACCTAGACTCTATGCCTTAATTAGCCTGAATTTTCCGTCTCTTTCGTTTGTTAGCCTCTGATTTGGGTAGGGTTGGCTAAAGAGAGGAGCCGACTCTACCCAAATCAGAGGCTAACGAACGAAAGAGTCAGAAAATTCAGGCTAGACTGTGCTATGAATACTAGCCTAGGCTTTACAGTAAGACTAAAGTGTAGCCTACACTGTAAAGTTATATCCGCGCCAGCTCAGGAAACGCAGTCGCTTCTTGGTGGAGTGTTACAGCCGGCTAGCACCGGCGAATTGAAAATCATAAACCGCTCGACGAAATCGCATCGGCTTGGACTAGCAATGAGCCATTTGCGCAGTCTACAACAGGTCTACATCTACCATTGATTACTATCGGTAATCAAGCTGTGAACTTAGCTTAAAATTATGAGATGTGCTGTAATGAAATAACCTACGGTAAACTCCTGATTATTTCTAAAAATATTACCGTCGACGACTTAAATTAGAGTTAATTCAATCAGTTAATATTCTTTGGTAAGACAAAAGAAAGGGATGGGATAGGGAATAATACGTTGTGTCAATGCAGAGAGCCCCTCACTGCAACGACGAACACATCACAATCATTTCAGAGATCTTCACACAAAATGGATCTTTACTTACTTTTTTTGGTATCCGTATGGTATCACTTTGATGTCGATGTTCGCCTGAAGATTTTCTGCTCAACTGAGATGTATTTGACAAACTTCTATGATAATAGAAATTCACTTACAAGAAAAATGTTTCATTGTTCGTAATTGAAAAACTTCAAAGTCGCAGTTCATACAACCGCCATTTTTCGTCATTTTCTTGCCCAAATCGTAGGGAATTCTGGGAATGCAAAAAATG